AAGGTGAAACAAAGAATCGAGCATTGATCTAAGATGCCCAGACCAAAAACAGCACTGGAGAAATGAAGGTTAGAGGCAGCATGCACTAATCATACATCGATGGTTGTGTTTCGGAAGTTGCTGGTTTTCCAACAGTGATGACTATTGTAGCAGACATGCTTCAGGGCTACTTGACACCAATTTTAGTGGCTATCTTGTGATTGCATATGCCTTTCATCAAGCCTGGAAATGTTTCTGGTGTCGAGCATTTTTCCAGCAGCTTGGTGGAAGCTTCTGCACGAACCAGTCTCCACAGAAAGTGAAGCACTATGAAGATGAAGAATGAAGTTTAAATAATTTTCACCTGTAATTTATAGATTATGTGATGGCACTGTAAGAAGATGTGGTAACATGAGTTCAATTATTCCAGAAAAAAAAAAAAAAAAAAAAATCTTCTGTTATAATAGGTTCACCTCCAAAAGGGAAAAAAATGCATTTATTATTTATCAATTTTTGCATTATTGGAGTTAAAGTTAGTGGTATACTTTGCAAATGTGTGTGTTTAAGCCTATGAGTAAAGCAATAAAGGAAGCAATCATATGTATTAACTGGAAAAGCCATTAAGTATGTTTGGTGAAATTAAACAGGAGGTATTACGTGGATAGTTTCTACTGGGCTCTTAAACTTCAACCAAATTTGTTCTTGACCTGATTTTACAAAGGCACATAGTGCCCATCTTACAAAAAGCCAAATGGTCAAGGTGTTCCCTAAAAGTCTTTGACCTGGCAGTATGTAAATATAAAACCTGCAGAAGATGTGAATAGCTGCAGCACAATCTATAAAATCAGTCAGGCCAAAAAATAGGAGAATTTAAAGCAAATCAAATAAATTCGGGGGGGGGGAAGAAGGTGTTGACAGAGACTTTGGAAGCTCCTGAGCTGCAGATTGCCAGAACTTGGATGGCTGTAACACAGAATACACACTTGGTTGTTGTGGTTGTCTTCTTCCCATGATGTCCCTCTCACAATCTTACCAGCACTTGCTGGAAAACCTCAAGGACCTCCTGGAGCCTTGCCCTGCTGCAGTAAAGATACTCTTACTCAATCTAAAACAGCTTGACAGGGTAAATACACTTGACAGCAATTTGTTCAATATTGATGGCTAGAAGCCAGAAGGTCAAGAATTTAAGGTAATCTACTGCTGTTTTCATGCTGGGGAAGTGAAGGAAAACTGACTTTTCTACAGATAATATACTCTTAGATGCGTTGTGGGCTGAACAGTAGAGGTTGTATTTTCTTGTAGAAGTACTGAAGTCTCCAGCTGTGATATTTTCTAAAATGAAGCATTTACAGGGCTAGAAGCAATTAGGATATATACAAGAAATATTAGATATGACTGAAAGAAGAACCATCATGAACAGTCCATTCTATAAGATAAATGAATGCTAGGAGTGATATACTGTCCAAGTAGATGTGTCATTATTCCATAAGAAATCTTATATCTTTTAAATGAATTGAAAAGTGAAGTCACCTGTCACTGGAGCAGAACATAATAGCAGTTATTTAACAGGTTGAAACAACTCCCATTGATTCACTGAGTCTTATCTCCTTCAATGTCAAGTAACTCAACCATTGTAAGAGCATATGTCAGCGACTGTGGATTAAGGAGACTACTATTGAAAGACCATGATGATCACCTGGAGTCCGTTTCTTACTATTTAACAGTGATGAAAAATACCAAAAGCAGTTATTCTGAAATTGAATTTGTCTATTCTTTGCCAAAAATATAGAATGAGAGTCTCATGAACTTGTTCCTGACAACATGCTACTCATGCCAGGGTAAACAGCTATGCCTTGGAAAATATGATAGCAAGATTTCAAGCTTACTAATGGTGTAACAAACTTTTGATGGGGTGGCCACGGGGTGAAATAAAAGCCAAAAATCAGGAAGAAATTGAATTCAAGACTAATTGACACAACATTTTCAGTAAAATCTGGAAAAAAAATATGAAAAGTTCATTTTGGATCAGTTTAAAATTCTGTATAAAAAATATAAAATCTTTGTTACTTCCAGGAAATTCGAGACACTTTTATTCACAATGATTATGGTGAAACTTACCTGAGAAAAGGGGACTCACCTACTGCCTCCTACAACGTATGTAAAATAGCACTTAGAGCCACTATTTCTGCAGGGTAAACTGGCATAGAGAGTGTAACAGGGCAGAGGTTTCCTTTCCTCCACATCAGGAGGCAAATTAGGAGGTAGAACTAGGACCCAGACCGTATGACAGCCCCTCTTATGGTCCTGATACTGTTTTGTGGGGAAGCAGCGGTTCTGCCACTGCCACCTGGCGTGAGGGCACAGCAGCCACAGCACAGTGATGAGGCCGTCTGATGCTTCTTCCCTCCTGAACTGTGGGGTAAAGATATCATGGTCTTTGTGAATGAAGCCAATCTGAGAAGGCTCCTGAGAACCAGGTCCTGCTTGACTAATCTGATCTCTTTCTATGACAAGATGACCCACTCAGTGGATGAGGGAAAGGCTGTGGATGTTTACTTGCACTTTAGTAAAGCTTTTGACACTGTTTCCCACAGAACTCTCCTGGAGAAACTGGCTGCTCATGGCTTGGATGGGTGTACTCTTCGCTGGATAAAAAACTGGCTGAATGCCTGGGCCCAAACAGTTGTTGTGAATGGAGTTAAATCCAGCTGGCAACTGGTCACACGTGATGTTCCCCCAGGGCTCAGCTTTGGGGCCTGTTCTCTTTAATCTCTTGCTCTATGATCTGCGTGAGGGGATTGAGTGCTCCCTCAGTAAGTTTGCAGATGACACCAAGCTGGGTGGGAGTGTCGATCTGCTTGAGGGTAGGAAAGCTCTGCAGAGGGATCTGGACAGGCTGGATCGATGGGCCGAGGCCAACTGTATGAGGTTCAACAAGGCCAAGTGCCGGGTCCTGTACTTTGGTCACAAAAACCGCATGCAATGCTACAGGCTTGGGGAGGAGTGGCTGGAAAGCTGCCTGGCGGAAAAGGACCTTAGGGTGTTGGTTGACAGCCGGCTGACCATGAGCCAGCAGTGTGCCCAGGTGGCCAAGAAGGCAAACGGCATCCCGCCTTGCACAAGTCTTGTGAGGAGCGGCTGACAGATCTGGGGCTGTTTGGTCTGGAGAAAGGGAGTCTGAGGGGAGACCTTATTGCTCCCTACAACTACCTCAAAGGAGGTTGTAGTGAGGTGGGTGTCGGTGTCTTCTCCCAAGTAACAAGAGATAGGACAAGGGCAGATGGCCTCAAGTTGCATCAGGGGAGGTTTAGATTGTGTATTAGGAAAAATTTCTCCACCAAAAAGGTTATCAAACATTGAAACAGGCTGCACAGGGTAGTGGTGGAGTCACATTCCCTGGAGGTATTTAAAGGATACCAAGTGGTGGACTTGGCAGTGTTAGCTTTATAGTTGGACTTGATGATCTTCAGAGTCTTTTCCAACCTAAATGACTCTATGATTCTATGATTAAAAATAGGGCTTTTTGTTAGAGAGACATTATTTTGTCAGGAATGTCATCAAAGGGCTCAGTCCAATAGGATCGAGGCTCATGAAGATTTCAGAAGATGCAGTGCTAAGGCTTGGAGGCCCTGCAAAGCTTGACTTCTTTCACTGTACCTCTGCATCATCTGACAGAATCTGCCAGCCAAAAAAAATTAACCTTTAGATCAATCTCACAGACTCGCACAGCAGAATTGTCAATGAAATCCGCTTGGCAGCAAGAGTTCTCATGGAGGACGGCAGGGCTTGTGTTTGTTACTCAGTTGGGTCCTTCATGGGTTATTTCTTTATTTACATTGATGGGAAATACACGAATGTGGCATTTTGAATTAACACGTAGTCATTTTCTACAGATTAGAACTGAGGGACTCATGGGTACTTTTCATGCTGTGTTAGTGAGAGGGATAAATGAGGCCATGTACACCTTACAGCAGTGTCCCAGCATGGTGGAACCTTAAACAAGATGAAGAAGATATTTATAGAAGGAAAACACCAGGCAAACAGCGCCATGACCAGACAAGTTGTTTTGTAATGTGGAGATCAAAATTTATCGGTATCCAATGGGAAAAAAAATTACAGCTGAGACAGTTAAATTAACTGTCTATTGTTGTTGTTAGGCTTTTAATTTGCCTTGTAATCTACATCTACTATATTAATTATTAGATGAATAGGCATTTATTGTGTTATGCATTTAAAGAACAATCTAGTTTTAACTAGCATGGGCGTGCTGTTGTTTTCTAGATGGTCTATTATTATGGTTTGGACTGGTTGTAGATTTGTTGTTGGACTTCTATTAGAAAATGCCATTCTCGAACAAAAAGGAAATTAAATACTGTTATGAGGATTAATTATGGCTACTAAGTGTTAAATTGATAAAGGAAGACTTATAGAAGCTATTTCAGCTGTAGAGGTCAGGTGATGTCTCATTAAATACCACAGTCTTTAGAAGTAATATGATGGCATAATCACTTCAAAAATACCATACTAACTAAATATTTGGTTTTTACACTGTATTGAGTTCATTTCAGAAGTACAGTAGTACACAACACAGTAGAACCATTGTAACTTTTAAAACAACCTGTCCTTTTCAATTGCTTACATCTTACACTGACACCGCCCCTTTTTTTTTACATTCTATTGGTTTGCACAACTTATTCAGAGCATATGTAAAGCAGTATACTTCTGTGTATGGACCTCAAATTAGTACAATCAACTGCATCTCTGAAGACCTCTACTTCTGATAGAACCAATCAGAGTTTTTCTTCATTGGAAAACAATAATAATTGTGAAAAATCTTAATTTTACCAGTATTATGACTCTATTTTCGTGTGCTGTACAACTCTGTAGCTGAATTACACCACCAAACTCACAGAGAAAGCATCAGATCAGAAATTTCGGTATTCATTCCTAAATAGCTCTAAATCAGTGAACAGATACAATTTGCAGTACCTTATGAATTTTTTTTTTTTTTAAATTTCTAGATGGCTACCCTAAAGAGGAAATGATTTACAGATGGAGAAAAAATTCAGTGGAGGCTGCTGACCAGAAATCTTGGAGACTCTATCAGTTTGACTTCATGGGTCTGAGAAATACTTCAGAAATTGTGAAAACCTCTGCAGGTGAGAACAATACATGTGGAAGTGCTTGTTTTGGAAAAAAAATATTTTCAAAATATTTGTTCCAAGTTTCCTTTCATTCAAGTGCAATTTGATTTCCATGTATATCAATGTTCATATGAAAACCTCTCAAGCACAGACTTCAAAATTATTGACTATGTCTAGATTTTGATAACTTCCTTTTCTTTTTCTCTAGTATTTTGGCAATTACACAAACTAAGGAATGAATATTAAGTTGACATAGCTATTTTTTATATACTTGAAGTTACTATATGATTCTCATTCCTCAGCTAAGTTTATTAAGCCATCAAGACATATGTTTTCATCATAAATTAAAGAGGAAGATTTTAAGCATAATGATAGGGTTAATGAAATTAGACACTTTCAATAGCAATTAATCATTGAGCCACAAGTTCGGTGTTTTTAGTAATATTTCAAAGGCATTCCTTATTACTTAGCTGATAAATGCCTTTACTAGTGACCAATTTTAACTAAAATCTAATGATGTCTATTTTATTTCTTCAGAAATCTTACTGTTTCTTATAATAGCAACATAGGGAAAAAATGTGTAAATATAACACATTATTTGAACTGGATAAATTCTCGTAAAATTTAAACAATGTCTAAACTTTATACATGACTCTGCAGTAAGCTTCATGGTTGCCTTTTGGTAAGTCTTCTCCTAGCTGCAGAAGGAACCTGCTAGAAAAAACCTTCTGCTTAACTGGAGGTGAATTTTTGAAAAATCCAATTTCTTTTTTCAATTTTTCAAAATGTAAGCAAACCTGTGTTATTCTTTTGGAAACACTGTGAAAAATAGTAATAATAAAAAATTAATTGTCTGTGAAACTACTGCTGTTGGGTCACGGCCCACCCACTAACATCAGTAATGTATTCTCAGGACTGGATAGCAATTTTCATAGCAATGAAAAGTCATTAAATCTTTGATGAGTATTTTGGATTGGCAGTCTAGAAAAGCAAAATGTTGCAGACGCTGCACATGTAAAAGTTAACTCCTGGTATGGATAGAAATCATGGAATCATAGAATAGTTTGTGTAGGAAGGGACCATTAAAGGACATCTAGTCTAACCCCCTTGCAATGAGCAGGGACATCTTCAACTAGATCAGGCCACTCAGAGCCCCATTCAACTTGACCTGGAATGTTTCCAGGGATGAGGCATCAACTGCTTCTCCAGGCAATCTGTTCCAATGTTTCATCACCCTCTGTGAAAAATTTCTTCCTTATACCTAGCCTAAATCTACCTTCTTTCTGTTTAAAACCATTACTCCTTGACCTATGACAACAGGCCCTGCTAAAAAGTCTGTCTCCATCTTTCTTGTAAGCCGCCTTTAAGTACTGAAAGGCCACAATAAGGTCTCTCTGAAGCCTTCTCTTCTCCAGGCTGAACAGGCCCAACTCTCTCAGCCTTTCCACATAGGAGAGGAGTTCCAGCCCTCCTCTGGACCCGCTCCAACAGCTCCATGACTTTCCTGTGCTGAGGGCTCCAGAGCTGGACACAGGACTCCAGGTGGGGCCTCACCAGAGCAGAGTAGAGGGGCAGAATCCCCTCCCTCGCCCTGCTGGCCACACTGCTTGTGATGCAGCCCAGGATATGGTTGGCCTTCTGGACTTCGAGCACACACTGCCAGGTCATGTCCAGCTTTTCACCCACAAGTACCCCCAAGTCCCTCTCAGCGGGTCTGCTCTCGATCCCTTCATCCCTCCACCTGTATTGATACCAGTGGCTGCCTCAGGCCGTGTGTAGGACCTTGCACTTGGCCTTGCCAAACCTCATGAGGGTCACACAGGCCCACTTCTTAAGCTTGTCCAGGTGCCTCTGGATGGCATCCCGTCCTTCTAGTGTGTCAACTACATCACTCTGCTTGGTGTAATCGGCAAACTTGCTGAGAGTGCACTCAATGTCGCTGTCTATGTCATCGATGAAGATACTGAATAGCACTGGTCCCAGTATGCCTGATGGGCACTACTTGTCACCGATCCCAATCTAGACATTGAGCCATTGACCACTACCCTCTGGATGTAAACATCCAATCAGTTCCTCACCCACCAAACAGCCCACCCATCAAATCCATATCTCTCCAATTTAGAGGAAAGGATGCTGTGGGCAACCATGTCAAAGGCCTAATGGAAGCCCACATAGATGGCATTCGTAGCTCTTCCTTTGTCCACTGATGTAGTCAGTCTATGACAGAAGGCTACTAAGTTGGTCATGCAGGACTCACCCTTGGTGAAGCCATGCTGGCTGTCTTGAATCACCTCCCTGTCCTCCACGTGCCTCAGCATAGCCGCTTGGAGGATCTGTTCCATGATCTTCCCAAGCACAGAGATGAGGCTAACAGGTCAGTAGTTTCCAGATTCCTCCTTCATAACCTTTTTAAAAATGAGTGCAATGTTCCAGTCACTGGGGACTTCACCTAACTGCCATGACTTTTGAAATATCATGGAAAGTGGCTTGGGAACTACAGCAGCCAGTTCCCTCAGGACTCTGGGATGCATCTCGTCAGGTCCCATAGACTTATGTATGTTCAGGTTCCTGAGGTGGTCACAAACCTGAGCTTCTCTTACAGGGGGAGGGACTTTAATCCACCAGTCCCTGCCTTCTAGTCCATCCGTTTGGGAGGTTTACGAATAGAGGTTGCCCGTGAAGAATGAGGCAAATAAGTTGTTAAGTACCTCAGCGTTCTCCTTACCCCTTGTTACCAGTTTGCCATTCTTGCTCATCAGGTTGGGTGCGCTTTGTCTGACCTTCCTTTTCCAGCTGACGTACCTGTAGAAACTCTTCTTGTCATTTCTTGTATCCCTTGCCAAGCTCAGCTCCATCTATGCCTTGGCGTTCCTGACCCCATCAGTACAAAACCGGGCAGTGTCCCTGTACTCTTCTCAGGACACTTGTCCCTGCTTACACTGAATCATACAATCATAGAATCAAAGAAAGTTTTGCGTCGGAAGGGACTCCTAGAGGTCATCTAGTCCAACCCCCCTGCAGCAAGCAGCGACACCCCTAACTAGATCAGGTTGCTCAGAGCCCTGTCCAACCTGGTCTTCAATGTTTCCAGGGATGGGGCCTCCAC